AATTAGGGCGCGAGCTCCACTACTCAACTATCTTACGATCTATTTGACATGATTTTTGAAAAGTCAATTTTTTTTTTAAATTTAAAAATTGTTTTTGAAACTGTTAAACTAATTTTATGAAAGTATTTAGAAGAAATTGATCTAATATGACTTCTTCCAAAATAATTTTCGAAATAGAAAATTCTTATAAAAATTAGTTTTCAGATAAAAATTAAAACAACTTTTTCAAGAAATTTTTGTACGGGAAGCAAAAGTAAAAATCATGTAAAATGGGCCATTGTATCTTTTCTAACTCGAAGAACTTCTTCTCCCACCCCATTTGCATTGACGGTCATACATATTAATACCATCGAAACCATTTACTCTCTCTGCTCAAAACTTTTCGGAATTAATTAACACAATTTCTTCAAATTCCTTTTCGACTCGATTCAAAATACATTCAAAATAAAATGAAACAAGCAATTATTGAACATACAAACTACTGAAATTTAATATCAACTTATTAAGTTAAGAAATACTAATCACTACCTAATTGTTTAAACTCGAGTCAAATTTTGTTTGCTTGTGGACTCAACGGAAAGATTGAGACAAAATATGATACTATTTTTTTCGTGACATCAAATCAAATTTATATAACGTAGAATATATAATTAAAAACGACAGAATTCATGCGAGGAGTTGTTGGCTCTCTTATTCTACAATGGGCTAAAGGCATAATTCTTTTTTTGAAGAATTTAAGGTAATTAACAAAGCTATATAAAATATTAACTCTATATTTAATCAGTGTGAGTTTGTTTGTAAATGTACCTCATCATCTTCTCAAGGTATAATGTATTAGCTCGTCTTATGCAAATTAGAAACGACCAATCAAAGTGTGAACTCTTCAACTGCATTAGAAGTCCTCGTTTTATGTGAAAATAATTTCCTCGATAGGTAACTACGGATTTTTTCGACTATCACAATCTAAATCAAAGTACATTTTCTTCATTTGATTGCAACTAGAGACTAATCTTGTATGCAGAGGCGGAGGCAGGGGGGTCCTGGGGGGACTCAGACCCCCCCCCCCCTAATTTTTTGACAATTTTTTTTAATTTTAAAATTTTATTTTTTGTATTTACCATTTTATCCTTAAATGAGTAAAAAGCTTAAATCCTACCAATCCAAAAACTTAAACTCGAAAGGAACACTTGTAATAATGTATGATTTTACTAAATTAAAAATTAGTACTTTTTTTTATATGTTTCTTAATTTTTTTGTTAATAATGTACATTAATTTATGTTCATTTGTTTCATTTCTCCATCATAAAATACCAACTTACCTCATTTTAACAGATAATGTTTCAAAAAAAAAAATTCGGCTCGAACCCCCGTGGGCCCCCCACCCCTTCAACTCTGGGACCTCCCCTACTTCGACGGGCTG